ATGGCTCCTGACAGTACATGCCTTTATTCTTGGGAGGCAGAAGCAGGAAGATTTTTGTGAGCTCACAGGCAGCCTGAGCTATAGTAGACTAAGACCCTGTCTGCAAACCAAAACAAAGAAGGGTAAAAGCCACCCCTCGGTCTCACATGCTGTGATAGACACTTGGAGGTACTGTATTCTTCATCACTGCAGAAGCTCCAGTAGAAGGTTAGCAAGGTGGTTCAGAGGGTAAAGGCAATTATTGCTCAACTGTTCAAACCTGGTGACCTGAGTTTGATCTCGAAAATCCATATAAACGTAGAAGAAGAGGGGGGCTTGTTTATTATTTATTCATGGAAAATAGCAGGGCAAGGAGCTTCTAGAATCATCCACTCCTTTAGGGGAACCTATTTGATTAGGGCCCATTAGTTTGCTAGGGACTGGAGAGACGGTAGGACCAGCATGCTCAGATATTTGAAACTTCCTACAGCTCTCCACTGGCATGCAGTTTTGCCTGGAAGTCATTCAAGTACACATGCAATGCAATGCCATACAACAAAGTGTAGGATAAAACCTGGAAAGAGGGAAACACAATTCCAAGAATCCCAAGGAGGGAATAATCACACTGATGGAGCTTCGAGGAAAATTCTAAGAAGTAAGTGGGCTTAGAAGAATTGGGAACAATCCTGTCTGTCGGAATGATTTTTTAATTGCATAGTAGTGCATGGTCACATGTCTGAATGGGCATTCACGTGGAGGTCCAAAGTTGCCTTCCAGAACCTTCCTTGAACAACACTCTACCTTCATTTATATATTTATTTATTTGTGAGCATGTGCCTCTGTGAGTGTACATATTTAGACATATGTGTGTGTGCATGTACATATTTAGGTGCACATGTATATCTGCCTCCATTTTTTTTTTTTTTTTTACCGAGCCAGGTTTTCTTGGTTGAACCCAGAGATTTACCGCTATCGCTAGTCTGGCTAGCCAGCTTGCTCCAAGGGTCCCATCTCCACTTTGAATCATGGATAAGCGAACCTAGGTTCTGGGTATTCAAATTCCAGTCCTCACACTTTCCAGAGAAGTTCTCTAACCATGAAACCATTTCCCCAGCCCCTGAGTGAGACAGGGTCTTGCTCTATGTAGCCCCACCTGGCCTGACACTCAACTATGGAGCTGCCTTACAGTGTGGCAGTCCTCCGCTTGCAAGGATTATAGACACACATCACCACACACAGTTAACATGCCATCTCGTACACCTCAGGAATCATCTGAAGGTGGCTGATTTGTCTTCCATGAAGAAATTTGTATCCCATCATTAAGCCATGAATTACACATCTTCCGTGAACTCTCCTGGGAACAGAGGGAGTGCTGTCTGGGAACTTTGGTAAATTAGGTAGAAATTTGTCCTGTGCTTGTGTGAAGTCATTTTCCTATGGAGGACTGGACAGCACTGCCAAGTCTTTCCCCAGAAACAAATGGCGAGATCGCTTTGTTTTCTGTAATACAAACCCTCTGCAAAAAAAAAAAAAAAATAGCGTCCTCTCCTGCTCATTATCTTGTCATTAAAACCTTTGGCTTGGTGCATTTCCCTATAAAATAAACCCGAGACCTTATTCATATGGAGGGAAATGCAGAGGCAGGCTCTACTGTGCATAAAAGGACCCAGTGTAAAGGGAGCTTTCTCCTGCCTCTTCAGTTTGATGATGGGATCTCGTGGCCAGACAACATTTTTTGACTGGTAAGTGCAGAAACCACCCTCTTGAGTTACTGTTGAGTGAATGAGGGCCTTTGTTTCCCCCCCAAAGAATTAAAAACCTATGGGCCTCCCCCCACTCAAGCAGGAATAGGTTTCACACAGCGGTGTTGGGATTAAATGACTGCATCACGAAGAAGCCAGAACAATGTCTGCTCACATTTTAATCATTTACCAGGCATTCCAGCCTCCCTCTAAGTTTTATCCACAGCTAGGTGACTGGGTCAAGAACGACTTGCTCTAGCTTTCCCTTACCGTAAAAACCTTCCCCACACGGAAATAAAGGAAACTGCCCCACCAGGGGAATCCAGAGTCTGCAAGCCGGAAGGGGCTCCTGGCTGGCTCTAGAGTGTGGTCCTCCTCCGTCATCCTGTAGGTAGCAAAGTAAGGCTAAGAGAGGTACGACCTGCACAGGCTCACACCCAGGGCCAGAGGCACACAGAGGTCAGAATGTTCCTGGCTCATGGAGACTCCAGGTTGGCATTTTTTTTCAACTGCCAGTTTTGCCATTCCTCAAACTCAAAATGATATTTCTTCTGCCTTTCTGCAAAGTGATTCATGATGCCTGCTTTTTCGTGTTTGTTTGTTTGTTTGTTTGTTTTTTGAGATAGGGTCTCATGTAGCCTACCTTGGCTGGCCTCAAACTCCTTAATGTAGTAAAAGAGGACCTTTAAAAAAATGAATTCCGTCTTAAAAATCATTTGTTTAAGCCATGCAGTGGTGGCGCATGCCTTTAATCCCAGCACTTGGGAGGCAGAGGCAGGTGGATTTCTATGAGTTTAAGGCCAGCTTGGTCTGCAGATAGAGTTCTAGGCTAGCCAGGGCCACACAGAGAAATCCTATAATGAAAAGCAAAAACAAACAAAAAAGAATTATTTGTGTATGTGTGTGCGTGTCTGTGTGAAGTCAGAGGACAATCTTCGGAGTTCAAGTCATGAGTTCAGGGGTTTAAACTCAGGCTGCCAAGCTTGGTGACAAACAAAGTTGCTCACCGAGTCATCTTAAGGACTTCTTAGCCTCTTGCTTCACATGCTGAGGTAGGGCCCTCATGTTCAGTTCATTGTGTTTTGAGTTGAACCCAGGGCTTTGGGGACTCGAGCTAAGCACTCTCCTAACGGAACTACAGGCCTGCATGTTATTCCTCCTTTGGAATAGGCTCCACAGAAAGACTGTAGATTTTAGGAGAGAAAATGTCCCCAAGTTCTTCACCCAGGCAGCACCAGGCTGGCATTTTTGTGTGCTTTTCCTTTTTCCATGCGGAAGTGGGTTCACTGTCAATCTCTTGGACTCGTTAGCTTTAGCATAGCACAAGGTAATAGAGGAGAGAGCACCGTGGAGCTTCGGGAGCGCTAAGTGGATGCAAAGCATAATTATGCTTGTGACAACTGCTGCTTCGCTCAGTGTAAAACAGGGGAAATCGATGGGAAGGCTGGTGAGGTGCCCCAGGAGGTTGTTTACAGGCACCGGGTCTCTTCTGCATGACAACGGCCCTGTAGACCGAGAAGCTGACCATGGGTAGGGGGATACTGGAACCAAGATACTTCTCACAAGGCAGTGGCAGGGACAGTGACCTTCTCAGAGGTGACAGGGAGGAGGGAGTGAATGCAAAAACAACCCTACAGACTTGGAATGAGAAGACCCTGTCCCTCACTGGCTGAGTCTCTGATGTACAGAATTCATCGAGGCCTTGGCTTGTCCACTCTAAGATGGGCCCCCTGAGTCTGTTCTACATGCCCTTTGTGAACTAGGAGGCTGACCCTGTAGGTACAGGTTAGGGAGCAAGACAGCCCATGAGTAGCTACCTGAGACTTTGGGAAAAGCCCTCGGCCTCAGTTTCCTTCTTTTTTTTTTTTGGTTTTTCGAGACAGGGTTTCTCTGTGGTTTTAGAGCCTGTCCTGGAACTAGCTCTTGTAGACCAGGCTGGTCTCGAACTCACAGAGATCCTCCTGCCTCTGCCTCCCAAGTGCTGGGATTAAAGGCGTGCGCCACCACCGCCCGTCTCTGTTTCCTTCTTTAAATGAGGGGACAGAAGACACTTGAGTGACCTAACCTTGGGAGAAGCCTAGTAGTGAGACTGAGAGAAATGAGAGCCGTGACTGGGGCCTTTCCTTCCTTCCTCTTCAGTACCTCAGGTCCCCAGGTCCCCAGGTCCCCAGTGCCAGGAGAACCACAGGGCTGCTGACTGTTGTGTGGAGAATGAGTTTCCGTTCTATTCTGTGTGATCATTCTGCACACGTGTGGTGTTATGGCAGAAACTTGGATGGCCTGTGGAGGGCAATTCACAGCCATGGTGCTCTGCCACTCCCTCCCCACAACCCAGGAAACTCGGGGAAGACTCCTTGCACACGTGATGGAACGGAGGGCACAGGATTTCAGGCTGGGGTGGATCTTGTGCTCTGGCTTTTTCAATTGTTCCATTCTTGGCAGCTTCTGCAAGCATAGATGGAGACCTTCTCTGTGTCCAGAGCTTTAAGGACTTTCTGACCATGTGGTCTTTAAGACAAACCTAGGAGGTCTCTGAATTGCCGCTGTTCCTATTGCAGAGACAAGAAAATGAGAGCACAGAAAGGTGAGCTCTGACAAAAAGACGCATGGTTAAAGGACTTTGATATGGGTCAGTCAGAGGTCTTGCACGCCTTCGCAATATGACCTGCTTTGGTTCCCCATGGGGGGAACAGGTTTGTCAAATTAGCAGTACTGGTGTCCTTTCCAGTGGCCTTTCTTACCATGTGTGTGTGTGTGTGTGTGTGTGTGTGTGTATTCTGCATGAACATGTATTATGAGGCCCACCAGAGATGACCATTCAGACAGCTTATAACCAATTGAAAGTCTTTATTCCAGCCGGCTGGGACTACACTCAGGTATTCCGGACCCAAGTATAGATAGCATTAAGTGTTTTGGGTAAGTTTTTTGTTGTTGTTGTTTTGGTTTTTGCTTTTGTTTTGAGACAGAGTTTCTTGGTGCAACAACTCTGACTGTCCTGACTTTGTAGACCAGGTTAGCCTCAAACTCACAGAGATCCACCTGCTTCTGCCTCCCAAGCACTAGGATTAAAGGTGTATGCTATTACCGGTCCCAACCCCACCATGGGTAAGGGGTTTTGAAAGGGAAAACCATACCTTGGTGTGTCATTTGGCAGCTCCAGAAGGAGGTTCGCACAAACAGGCAATTTAAGAGAAGTTAAGGGAAGTCAGCTGGGGCACTCTGACCTCAAGTTCCTAAAATAGAGTTGGGTAATTTTCTAAGGGATGCTCCATCAAGGAGATTAAATCCTAATTAAACCTGAAATGGCCTCAGCAAGAATATTAGATGGAGGAAACTCTGCATTATCTGGCCCTGTTTCTGATCGTGCGTGAGCATTTTGTTCAGGTACTCATGCCCAGACACATGTTTGGAGGTTAGGAGAGGTTGGGTGTTTTTCTCTTTTCCTTTATCTTGTTCCTCTGCTCTTTCTGAACTTGGAGTTAGACTGGACTCCGATCAATAAACCTCAGCAATTCTTCTGTTTCTATTTTCTACAGCTTGGGGGCTGTAAGTGTATTAGAGGTCACATCCAGCTTTTTAGGGATGGAGAGCTGAGTTCTCACCCACTGAACCATCTCTACAGCTCCATCTCTTTCTAACATGCTATGAGGCCTTGGTATTGAGTGGTATTGAGGGTTTTACCTTCTTGGGGTAAACCAACCCCAGCTGGACTGTATGTGTGTGGAGGGACTTTGTGTGTGTGTGTGTGTGTGTGTGTGTGTGTGTGTGTGTAGAGGTTGCTGTTGGACATTGTATGTGTGGGAGGGGTGTGGGGGGGGATGCTGCAGACAGTGTTTTCTGTTCTGATAGAGATCTGAATTAGGAGGGAATCTAGCCCACTTTCCAACATTTATATTTCCTTCCCACTGACTTTAAGGGTGACTAGGGAAAGAAGGGGCCCTGGTATTTGCAGTCTAGAGGGTCTGCAAATCTCCTTACAGTACAGCACAGTACCCATACTGGACTTAACCCTGGGTCAACCACATTCAGTGGGAGACACCCTTGAACTTCGAGCTGCATGATGTTTTGTTCTTGCCCCCTGTGTACCAGTTCACAGATGCTTCACAGTTTCTTGCAGCAAAAGTTCAAATACCGGGTCTTGCCGATTGCCAAAGATGAGAGACGTGCCTCTTTTCTGCATCTGGGTCTCTGGTGCCTGACCTCAGCCGAACCTCAGTACCATTCCTTCCCCTGGGAGGAGCACCTACTCAGATCACATCAGGACAACCCACTGTTTCCTAGAATCCCCTTGGTCCCAGTTGCCCCCGACTACATCCCTGGTGGAATACAACTACGGGCCCTAGTAAGCGCTTAGCATCCATGGCCAGGCAGTCCTCAGCATCTACTCACTCCTGTGTCCCAGCATAGTGCCAAGCCCAGTGTGCCACTCATGGTCGGGGCTCACTGGGTTTGAACCCAATCCACTCTACCCTAGTGGAAATAAGAACTGAGTTTCATGATACTTTGCAGTTTCCACTGCTGTAGGTGGAGTGGGAAGAATCAATTTTTGCCTTGGCCCAAAGCCAAGGCCAACACAGTCTTTTCACTTTGATTGTTTCCTCATTTCCTGTTGGGGAAGAGCTGCTCCTTCGCCCACCCACTCACCCACTAGGTCTGGCTTAACGTGGACTTTAGGTGGGTGTGGGTGGCGCACGCCTTTAATCCCAGCATTTGGGAGGCAGAGACAGGCAGATCTCTGTGAGTTTGAGGCCAGCCTGGTCTACAAAACAAGACACAGAGAAACCCTGTGTCTCTCTGTCTCAAACCAGAGAGAGAGAGAGAGAGAGAGAGAGAGAGGAATTTTAACTTCATATTTCACCTGGCTCTAGGCAGTCTTTTATAAAAGTCACACTTGAGAATCTTAGCTCCCCACAAGCCTTTTCTCTTCAGAGCCTCACAAGGATAAAGATCTATTTGTCTCTTTGTGTGTGTTACAAAAAAATGAATGGGGATTTAATTACAGCAGCTCATTTCCTAAAAGGAAGTCCTATTTACGACGTACCATATGTTTAGCCAGCGGCCATACCCCCAGGGCTGCCATCCTGTCAGATCTCCTTAGATAAGCAGGGTCCTGTTGGCCTGGCCTTGCAGGGACCCTGGGAGGACCAGCAACTGTTTGTGAGTGTTGGGGGGTGGGTGGGTCAAGGTATCCTGGCTGGGCTAAGCTTGGACTGCGGCTGAGTACCAGCCTGAGTGGAGGCTGACCTGGCTTCGAAGGAGATGAGAATCCCAAGTTTAAGCAATTCGCCATGATCAAAAATCGCCTGGCTTTTTTCTTCATCTACTAAGGCAGTTCTTGAGGGGGAGCAAGTCTCTCTTGCTGGTCCTTCCTTTCCCATTTTAATTCCTCCTTTGCCATGTCTGAGCCAGTGCAGATGGCTCCCCCTGAGTTTGAGACTCTTCTAGAATGGATGGATCCTGAAAGGGGAGGGAATGCAGGGTGTTGGGGAAAGAACCTGGCTCCAGCCAACTGTGCTGTTTATCTGCCATGATGCCTTGTGGAGTAGATTCTGGGAGGCTGGTTCTTCTGTGTGCTGTGCTGGCTATATGGGGATGCTTGGGATCTCCTAGTTTTCTGGTTTCACGGCTCCTTTTCCTGCCCAGACTTCCTTTCACTTTCCAAGCCTTCCCTTGTTCCCAGTGTGCCCTGTTCCTTTTGCTTCCTCTCTCCATTCGCTTTTTAAAAAACTCCACGTCCAGAAAAATATCCAGGGCCTTACATCCCCACTATTCTCTGCCCTGAGCCTTGGAACTACGCAGCTGTCAGTGTCCTGGGTCTTCATCCTTGGTGGCAACATTACTTCTTGAGAGTCTGTTCTTTCTGGACTGGAGGTTGGTGTAGACACCACCCCAGGTCTGCAACTGTGTGTTCTTAGTTTCCACTGAACAGATACAGCAGGGACTTCAGGATACCTATCTCCCTGGGGCACTCACCTGCTCAGAAGGAAGAAAAGAAACAGGCAAAGCCCAGAAACATCAAGTAGCCTGCTGGGAGGTAAGGTGCTGAGGAGAAGGAACCTGGTTTCTACTGTAGATGCTCTGCTGGAGGAATAGGGCATCTTCAGTCTACTGCTGGGTCTGTGTAGTGAGGGGGCCTATAGTTAGTTCCCACTGCCCAGACAGAAATAATCACACAGGAACCATACTGTTTAAAACACTGCTTGGCTCATTAGCTCTAGCTTCTTATTGTCTAACACTTACATCTTAATTTAACCCATTTCTAGTAACCTGTATCGCCATGTGGTTGTGGCTTACTGGGTAAAGTTCTGTCTGACTCTGGCAGGTCTCCATGGCTTCTCTCTGACTCTACTTCCTTTCTCCCAGCATTCCGTTTAGTTTTCCCCACCTAGCTCTTGTTCCCCTATAACTCTGCTACAGGCCCAAAGCAGTTTCCTTATTAACCAATGATATTCACAGCATACAGAGGGGAATCCCACATCATGTCTGCTTGCTCTTTTTCCCCCTCCCCCTCTTTTCTTTCTTTCTTTTCTTTTTTTTTTTTTTATGCTTTTTGAGACAAGATCTCATTTTGTGACCCAGGCTGGCTTGAACTCATGATAATCCTCTTGCCTCTGTTTCTCCAGTATTAGTATAGCTTTCTGCTTGTTCTTCTGAGTGGCAGGAGCCAGTACTCACTGGGGATCTTGGAATTCCTGGGGACAGGACCTCACCAGTCCTCAGAAGAGAAACTTGGTGCTCAGAAAGTACCCATGAGCTATGTCTACCCAAGCCAATGCCCACGGACCTTCCCCACCCAGGTCTCTGGATGCCCCTGCCTACTCTTCCTTGAAGGACTTGGACCAGGTATTTCTCAGGCTCATCTCCAGCCCATGGCTGAGCCGGTCAGCCTACTTTCTGCATCTTCTCAGAGAGAGGGATCACGTGGGATTTAGGCCCATTTTAAAAATGTATCCTCATTTCCAGGGACTAACAGCTTTGTGAGGCTCTCTCAGCAGTGCCTGTCTAAGAAGGTGGTTTGACTCAAGATGCCTTTTGCTAATTAGAACCCCTTCAACTCTCCTGTTACACAAGAATCTAGGGCACCCACATGACCCTCTGAAAAGCTTTTTTTAAAGGTATTTTTAGTCAGAATCAAAGGGTGAAATATTTATTTATTGTTCAACTTTACAACCCTGAAGCTGTGAACACCTCAGTTCCCCATCTCACAGTCTTTTTCCTTCCCTGTGGACACTTCTGTCCTTATTCTGTTTCTCTATTTCCTTCTCCTTCCTGCAACCCTGTGTGCACACATGTGCATGTCCATGCATGCATGAATGCACGCATGCATACGTGAATGTGAGTGTACGAGCTCCTGTGTGTAGGTGTGAGGGCCTGGTGGGTGTGTGGCCACAGTGCCAGGCAGCCATGCCGGATTTCTGGCTGCTCATTGTTCAGCTCTGTCTCCATGGCGACAGGAGCAGCTGCTCCATTCTGGGCCTTGGCTTGGCTGTGCAGGGCGGCCTGCCCGCCCGTCTGCCTGCCCCATCCGCCCTCCCATCCTCCTGCCCAGCCATGAGAGCTGCCAGCTCTATGCCCTCCCGCTGCCCACAGGCCTTGCCAGGCTGGGCGCAAGAAAGCGTGTTTACTAACACCATCCACATGGCTCCTGGGGCACTGTGGCTCTGCCCAGAAGATGTCAGGCCCAGGGCACCGGGAGGTGGGCCTGGAGCCAGGCTGTCTGTAGCCCAGGGAAATCAGGCTGGCCGGCTGCTGCCCGGGCCTGCCAGCACTCCCAGCCTCCAGGCAGGGTTGCAGGCACTGGGTTCAGGGGCCTCACAGAAACTCTCTCCAGAGTGTTCTTTCCCCTTCCTGGCATACTTTACAATTCTCTTCTCAGTGTGAGTGGGTGCTGTGGTACCCCACCTGGTCGTATTACTCCTGGCAGTCTCCTCTGGTCCCCACAGTGGGATTATCTTATCCAACACCTTCACAAGCATAAATTAGGAACTGCCAAGTGGGAGTGACCCAGTGGATGTAGTCAGGAGGGAGGGCAGGGTTGTAGCAGCAACCTATCTGCCCTGGGAGGCCGGGGTGGACTGTCCTGTGTGGTCCCTTTGAGTTTTGAGATCTTCTCCCTTCTTCCCCCTCTCTTTTCTTCCCTTCCACTGCCTCCCTCTCCACACCTCTCTCTGCCTCTCCTCCCTCCTATCTTCTCCCCATCCTTTTTCCCTTTATGTGTGTCTGTGTGTCCATATGTGCTTGTGTGTGTGCCTCCCTTGTGTACGGGTGTTCTTGTGTGTGTGTGTGTGTGTGTGTCTCCATCTGTGAGTGTGTCGGCATTCCATGTGCATCTCCATCTGGGCGTGTCCTTGTTCCTGTGTGTATCTTTGTGTGTGTTTCTAGCT